AGGCGGCTGGGCCAGCAGATCGGGAGCGAACCCTGTTGGACCAGCCGGAGTGGGCCCGGGCATAGGACCGGACTACGGGGAAGCGAGGGGGTTAAACCCCCCAGGTGAGATACCCGTGATTCGAGGAAATGGAGAATTCCGCGACGGCTACAGCAGTAGCCACATGAAGAGAGTAACAGTCAATGCCCCGCGTCTCGAAGGGGAGAGTCGCGCCCATGGGTATGACTCGTGGAGAAGGTCGCTTATCCAAGCGGCCAAGACTGTAGGACTGGACGGCCAATTGATCGGCAACAACAAGAGGACCTGTGGATGGAGGACCAGGTTTCAACCTTGGCAAGACGGTAGCCCCGGGGCCCGCGGGGCCGCCCGCGCGCGTAGCGCCGGCGGCGGCGCCGGCCGCGCCCCAGGAGTCGGGCGCAGGCGACGCTGGCGATGCCGCCCCCTCGAGCAGGGAGGGCGCGAGCGTCGCCCCATCTACCACGTCGACCGGCACGGCCGATGTGGGCGGCGGCGAGGACGACCGCCGCAGCAGCAGCAGCCGCGGTAGCGGCGGCGGCGGCGGCAGCGGCGGCGACAGCAGTAGCCGCGGTAGCGGCGGCAGTGGCAGCGACAGCAGCAGCCGCGGCAGCAGCGGCGATGACGGCGGCAACGACAGCAGCAGTGGCAGCGACAGCGAGACGGATCTCCCGGCGCTCTGTGGGCCAGAGGCCCGGCGGCTCGCCCGCTTCGACAAGCCGGCGGAACTCACCAGCCGCCGCACTAGGGAGAACCCTCGCCGAAATCCGAGGTACGAGTCGCCCCCGTCGCCGCCCACATCGGCCCCGTCGCCGACAAGTGCCGAAGCCCTGCTCGCCTCGGTGGCGAGGTTTCCCGTCAGCAGCACGGAGGAGTTCACCAGCTGGATGCTCTCGGCGGTGCTTCACGTGGCGGAGGGGCTAGAGGCGAGGGTGGTGCGAGAGTTGCTGTCCGAGCGCGCGCAGGAGGCCCACGCTGCGCGCCAAGAGGCGGAGGATTTCCTGCTGGGTACGGTGGACCTCATGCTCAACTCGCCAGACGCCTTCGAGACG